TTTTGTACAGGAGTTACTAACCAATAAATAAGGCATTGTCTTGTTTTTTATTAACATGGAATTTATTCGTGCATTGTATCACAATTATTGTCTCACATATGTTTTCAGTTAAACGCAGTAAGTGATGTAAATTATCGTAACACTAGCACGTAATAACCAAATATGAATAGTAAGTTTCTACGTATCAAATATTGTTGACCACACATAAACTACATAAATAAATTCTATATTGTTATTTGAAAAAGACGAATAGACGAATAGCGAATTACAAAAAAAAAAAAAAAAAAATTATATTATGGTACTTGTCATCTCTTTTTATTCGAACCGGAGCACTGAATTTATCCAGAAGTGTAAAATTGTAGAATTTTGTAGAATTTAAGCCGAATTCATTATAAAATTATTATAAACATTTGGTACGTACTAAAACATCACACACCACACTACCAAATAAGTAATTGCTTCACTTTACCAGCTTGCTGAACTATCCTTATATATTATGAAGAAACATGATTTACCAAAACCTTCCTGGAACGGAGCACCACTCAAAAATGACCCGAATCCATTAAATCTTATACTCCTGAATACTTTACATACTCTACGTACGTTTACGTACGTAATATAGGTATATAAGACATATACTTGTTTTGTTATAAACAGACGGTCTAGATTCTTAGGTTTCATCAGCGCTAATTCCCGAGAAAATGTTACAACTATTTTCCAAGTGGTCGAGGCTTATTTGTGGCTTTTAAATATACCATAAAACCAAAAAAGATCCAAGGATGGAAAAAAGACCATCTATACACAAAAAAAAAAGGAAAATGATCAAAAATCAAGAAACATTTTTTTTTTTTTTTTTTTTTATATAAAATTATAATGATAATAAAAGTATTATAATACTTTTATCACGTGAATCAAGCAAAGTAACGTAACCTGTCCTGTTGGCGCAATGTTTATTTGATATACGTACGAACGTGTATTAAAGTTCATTTTCTTCAACCAATAACATCATTTACTTTTAAACAGAACAATTAAAATCTTCAAATACCTTATGATATTTTTCCTTTTATCATAATTAAGCGTCATTGATTCTTAATAAAGTAATAAAAGCTCAATTCAATAAATTGTTCTCGGAGAAGAAAGGCTACCAGGTTACCGAGATGTTTTGAGTCAGATAAACCGAGGAAATTTCCGAGAGAATTACCAAGAGAATTGCGGTGTCAGGAAATACAAAAGTGAGCTAACAGGCTAACAGGCTAACAGTGAAGGCCAAAAAAAAAAAAAAAGGATTAGTTATAAATAATATAAAGTGAAGATGTACCGAGTAATTTAAGACTTTCTAGACGATACAACATTAATGGTATGTATGCATCGAACAAATAGGACTTATAATTTAACAATTTTTTTAAAAATGACGATTGATTTCTTTATTTCCATTCATTCAAACAATTTTTTTTTGTTTTTACTTCTAATCAAAATACGAGCAGAATGGACACTTTTCATTATTTCTATATTCGGGCCAATATTACCATTATTACTACGTATTATTACTATTATTAGAATATGATTTATTAGAATATGATTTATTAGAATATGATTTTAGAATTAGCAGAAGCTTTTTCGTCGTACAGTCATAAAAAAATGAAGAGGTGAAAAAAATCCTTATAAGATTCTTAATATAGAATTTTTAATACCAATACGTATACATAGGATTTTTAATTCCGTGGCAAAAGATTGAAAAATACAACCAACCTTCTACCGCTACCATGTTTACCATGTCTACCCTGTTTCCAAAAAAGCTTACAAAGCAGCCATGTTACTGAAAAAGAGATAAAACAAGTTTTCCATAATTGTTTCCCGGAAAAGGTGACCTCAATTCCATTGAAAAAAAATTTCAAGTTTCCTCATAAATCCAAAACATTATGCGGCGTTACATAACTTTCTTTCATCTTTTCCCATATGCTTCTATGTACGTATGTAGCCTTATGTCTTTTAGATTTCATAAAAGTTTAGTGTTTTATCATTCAAATTCTTAAATGGAATATTCTCAAAGTTACCGTTCACAAATTTCCGAGATGTTGATTATCATTCCTTAAGAAATACTAAAATGGGAATATTGATTGATCACAATCGCGAAATTATGTTATATTCCTTTTTTATCGTTATTACGCAGTTACGGTTGGTTCGAATAAACCTAATTTTTTTTAATTTCAATTAAGTGTTAGTGTTAATGAGTAATTATAATTTCAAAATTATATACGTCATTTAAGAAACTTTTTATTACAGTAATGCAAAGGATGGTCTGGATAAGATATGATCTAGGTACATTTATTTATGTTGTAAGGGATTTGGAATTACTTAGAATTTTAAGGTTAGGGTATAAGGTTTATATAAACTAAACTCCACCCTGAAATACACTTGATCCTCGCTAATATCAACCCATTTGGATCACTCTTATATTCATGTTGATAGTGATATTAATGATATATATGAATATAAAAATTTGGCTCGTGGCTTAGGTTGATATTAACGTACGTACGTACGTAGGTTGATATTAACGAGGGTCATGTGTACTGATTTCCCTGAAATACTAAGAAATTCCAAATCGGCTTAAACCCCCATTCCCACTTACAACATTTACAGTAATGACCGCAACTAACAGAGTTTTTTTTGTTTACAATATAAATTATTATTACCATAATAATCTAAGCTTGTTACTGCACATCGATACGCACGTACGTACGTATCGATGTACGATAAATAATAAAACATTAGTAGATATTTAATGGATATTATGAAGAAGAATACCAATAAAGTAAATGAAACTATATATTTCAACCTTAAAAAGTTCATTTCCAATTATATAAACTGGTTCACCTTTCAATTTAGACTGTCATTTGCATTTTTTTATAAATGAAATGATCTTTGATTTTCTAAGACATTAACCTAATTAATGAATATTAAGTACATGCGTGTGTGTATGTAAAAGAAAACTGTAAACTTTTAGATAGCATGAGAATTTGTTTTTTTCTTTATTGTAAAGATCTACAACTATTTATGTGTTACAAGTAATAAACGATCTGATTACGTATCTCGTACGTAAATTTTTGACTTTTATTAAGTACGACTAAGTACGACTACGTAAGTACTTGCGTGTGTAAGTACTTGCGTGCGTAACTGGCACAGTCAACCACACTTCTCTTAGTAACCTTAGTAACGCATTTAGTGGTAATTATATTATCGACATATCGTTATCGTTATCGTTATCAAGAACAATTAAGTTTAGAATATCGATATCGATATAGTTTAGTCTCTTATGGTGTAACTACTACAAATCCTAAAAAATTAAAAACTTTCATGCGTCACGTGTTTTCACATGTAAAATTGTAAATACTTCTTACAAATAAGGAATTCGCTTCGGTTTAAAAACTATTTCCTTCCGATTTTCGCCTTTGTACTTTATTCTTTCTAAAATTAATTTTTTTAATTTTTTTTTTACCGTGAAATCAATTCACTTTATCCTTTTCTTTATTTGTGTCATTAATATATTAATATATATACTCTTACACATTCACAACATTCACATATACACTTACACAGCACTCACAGTACTCACGAAACTGAATTTCGTAATAAAAACAATGTCCGATTCAGAGTATTACAATTGTTTATCTCGAGATATATTAAAACTTCTTGACGATCCCAGAGATTATGATATGATTATAACTGTTGGAGAAGATCTAGATATTAAAACATATTTTGTTCATTCTAATATTTTACGAGTAAGATCTGACTATTTTAAGACCGCTCTTTCAAGTGGTTGGGTTAAAAAAGAAAACGAAACTATTCAATTTACTAAACCTAATATATCCCCGACTGTTTTTGATGTTATTTTAAGGTATATGTTTAAAAATTTTTTTCCCATATTTATTTTAATTTACTT